AAAAAAAAAAAAAGAGGACAGAGAAGCATGCTGGACACCCCGCCCCCACCCCCTTGCTGAGAACTTCTAAACGGCCTCCACACGTCTGCTGAAGTGGACCCCTGCCCCTCCCATCCCGAGTGGTAGGCCAGTGTCTGCTGCCCGAGGGGTTTCACTGCCCCAGCACCCAGGGTTAGTTCCTGACCTGGACAGTGGACAGACTGGTCCATGCGGGTAAACCTGTTTAGGGCTAATCCAGCGGGAACCACCATGCTTGAGATTAGTGCCCTGTTGGGTGTAATTCTTGAAGTGCTCCAAAGGAAGATGAGTAACTCTGAACCATGAGGCTTCCTAGTCTGGGTAGTTGTGCACCAGGCCTTCATAACTACATAAGCAGGTTGCCACTGGTTCATACAGTGCTTTTGTGAAAATTCTGCAAAGACACCCTTTCCTTTTAAAAAAAAAAAAGATTTTATTTATTTATTTGACAGAGAGCACAAGTAGGCAGGGCAGCAGGCAGAGGGAGAGGGAGAAGCAGGCTCCCTGCTGAGCAGAGAGCTCCGATGCGATGTGAGACCTGATCGCAGGACCCCAGGATCACGACCTGAGCCAAAGGCAGATGCTTAACAGACTAAGCCACTCAGGCGCCCCAAGACACCCTTTCCTTGTGACACTGGAAAGAAAGAAGAGTATGAGGGGCGCTTGGCTGGCTCAGTCAGTAGAGCATGCACCTCTTGGTCTCTGGGTTGTGAGTCCGAGCCCCACATTGGGTGTAGAGATTACTTAAAAATAAAATCTTAAAAAAAAAAAAAGTATGCTGTTTAGATGGTCACCCCAGAGGAGCGAGCTCTGTCTGCAAGCAGGTTTCTAACTCAAAACCAAGCAAGGGGTCTGCATGTTGAGTAGGAGGCTTAAGATCCTTTCCTTTCCAGGCTCTCACTTTTAAAAAAAAGAAAGAAAGAAAGAAAAGGGGTGCCTGGGTGGCTCAGTTGGTTAAGCGTCTACCTTCGGCTCAGGTCATGATCCCGGAGTTCCGGGATCGAGCCCCGCATTGGGCTCCCTGTTCAGCAGGGAGTCTGCTTCTCCCTCTCCCTCTGCTGCTTCCCCTCGTGCTTTCTCTCTCTCTCTCAAATAAATAAATAAAATCTTAAAAAAAAAAGAAAAGAAAAAGGCTGCAAGTACTCCAAGTGATGCCTGGGATCACTAGTCAAGTAGAGGGGGCGGTTCCCTGAGCAGGGCTGTGTCCTGGTTAAGAGCATGGAGCCACTGCCTGGGTTTGAATCCTGGTGGCTCCCACAGGTTATAGGCACTTCAAGCAAGTTACTAATTTAGGATCCTTATCTGTAAAGTGAAGTTAAGGAATAAATGAGAATGCACTTAAAACACCTGGGCACAGGGCCTGGCACAGAGTAAAAACTCCAGAATGCCCAGCAGGACTGGCCTGAGTGTCCGGTAGCCTGCACGGGGTGGGAGGAAGCTTGGCGAATTCACGCTTTACCTGATCCCCGGAAGTGAGGACTCTGCCCCTGATTTGCTCACACTACATACTGACTAATAACTGCTTGCCCTCCGGCACTGATCCTCGACACCAGTAAGGGACTGGTGTTCTAAACAAAGTACTGGTTACGGATTAGCATTTTGCTCTGCCCCAGGGCACATGGCCAGCAAGACGGTCAAATAAGTCTCAGTTTATTTCAGCTGTAAAATGGGTGTGCTGAGCACAGGGTTAGGTGAAGTCCTGTGCAGGAAAACTCTGAGGAGCTGTGGTGGGGTCTCAGTAGGGGCCCGGCTGCTGGTGATCAGGCCCCTGGGTGTGCTGTGAGGGGGGCCGCAGGTCCGCCGTGGCTGAGCGTGGACGCAGTGACGCTTTCTCCCGCAGGTGAACATGGGCTTCTGCATCTTGGGAGTCATTGTGATGGCGACTACCAATTCTCTGATGTGGACATTCTTTAGCCGGGGCCTCAGTTTCTCCATGTCTTCAGCCATTGCATCAGTCACAGTGACGTTTTCAAACATCCTCAGCTCGGTGAGTGGCCTGAGGGTACAGTCCCCCTGTCCCAAAGCTGGGTTCTGGGTGAGTTGGGGAACTCTCGCCCTCCCAGACAGGAGATGACGGAGAGATTGGGCTGTGGCTTGAACCCTGGGGGCTGCTCCTCTAATCTCAAACTTGGCCGAACTCTCAAGCTAGCTGGGGATGAAGTCCAACTGTAAAAAAGCCTACCTGCATGCTGCCCTTCCAGGCTGCAGCCCTCATTCTGAAGTCTCGGCCACCTCTGTGCTAGCTGGACGCCTAGGGCTCTGTGAACTTGAGTGTGAGACGTGGAGGGGGGCTGCTCTTTCCTCTGATAGCCTGATGTCAGCCAGGCAGGGCTGAGCACAGTTGGTCCTGCCGTCGAGGGAGGGAGGACTTGGCCGGCCGGTTTGGATCAGCAAACACCAGGCGCCTGCTGTGTGCTGGGCTTTAGCAGCTGGCCTCTGCTGGGCTTTCTTGTGCACTTCGCTCGGGGCTGGGGCTGTGAGGAAGGTACCCTCCTCCCCTCTCCAGGTGAGCCAGACATGAATAGTGACTTGTGGAAGGTGACAGCTGGGTTTCAGGCCCCCGACTTCCAGCTCCAGACCTTTCCTCCTGCCCCAGGAGGGCCGTCAGCCCCCAGGGGAGTGAGGTGGTGCCTCCTCGCCGCGCCCGAGTCCTGCGGGCAGGTGTGGACGTGGCCTCACCGTGGTCTCTGTCCCGCAGGCCTTCCTGGGCTTTGTGTTGTATGGAGAGTGCCAGGAGGTTTTGTGGTGGGGAGGCGTGTTCCTCATCCTCTGCGGCCTCAGCCTGATCCACAGGAAGCTGCCGCCCAGCGGGAAGGACCCCGAATACAAGCAGAAGTAGCGGCAGGTGGAGAGACAGCGCGGCAGCCCAGGCGCAGGATGGCGTGTGGGGACCACCTCCCAGGGCCTTCTGACCATCAGCCAGAGGGAGATGCTGCCGAGGGAGATGGGCCTCTGACCCAGCAGCCTTGAGGCTGGCCAGCCGCCCCTTCTGGAAGGGGAGGGACAGGCGCACTCATGTTCAGCCTGAAGCCTTCTCGAGACGCCTGCACGGTGCTTTCGATTCTCACGCCCCTGGGCCCGCCCGGTGCCCCTTGGCAGATGCTGGAGACCCTGGGGTCAGTCTGCTGGGCGTACAGCCTTGAGACCGCGCTGTGATTGCAGTCCTGTGGCCGAACAGAGGCCCATCCCGTGACACGGGGGTGGGTTCTGGTGGAGCTTTCCGACACCTCCACGTGGCTGTACTGGGCTATCTGTGTCAAGCTTCTGCAGTTCGGCAAGGGAAGGGAAACCGGATTAATAAATCCGTTGGTTTGTAAGTTAAAAGTAGCAGGTATGGAATCTTGATGCTGTCCTACTTTTTTTTTTTTTCCTTTCCAAATTTTCTGGAGTAAGAGGGGGCAGCCCAGCTGAGCCACAGCCCTTGGAATGGAATTGAGAGCCTCCCTCGCCCCCCGGGGCCTGGGGCTCAGCTGCTGTCCCGCCTGCCAAGCTCATAGAGCACGTGGTTCCTTCCTTGATGCCACCCAGGCCGGCGCTCTTCAGTTTCAGCAGCGTCTGTCCATTTTCTTGGTACGCAAGGAGGAAGGCTTGACCTCACCACTTTGGGGACCTAGTTTTCTTTTACTTGGTGGGAAAGGAAACCAGCCCAGAGGCCGCTCTCGCCCCCTCATTTCCCCTGTAGGCCTCTCTGCCCTTTGATTTTCTTTCGCGGATCCCTGTGACATTTTTGTATCTTACGCAGTGTGAATGTTCCAAGTGGTCTGTGTGCCGCCTGCACGTTCCCTCCCTCGTGTGGGGCTTCAGGTCCCTGGGGGGGGGGCTCCCCTGGATGTCCCAGCGCCCTCTCAGCTCTCCCCGAGGCTGACCACCTCCATGTCTTCTTCAGACACTCCTGCAGTAGAGAGGGACTTGGTGGCCAGTAGGCAGTCGGGGGGAGGTGGGGGGACAAGGGCGGTGTCCAGGCTGCCCCTCCTCCCTGACCATGTAGCACCTCCACTGCCCTCCTCTATTACTCATTGCACAGCTGACGGATAAGCTTCCGAAAACTGTTCCATGGCTCCTACTGAGTGGGATCTGGCCTTACCCACCTCTCCAACTTCTCTCTCGCTGCCTCCTTAATACCCCCGCACCCACCATGCTTGAGTTACCCCCCACACTTGCATCTCAATAGTTCTCGAGTCTAGTACGTCCAGTCCTGCCTCCATGCTTGGTGTTTTTTTGCAGGAATAGGTAAGCCCATTCTAAGATTCATAGGAACCCTCCAGGGGCCCCTGAATAGGCAAAACAATCTTGAGAAAGAGCAATGTCGGAGGAATTACGCATCCTGATTCCAAAACTTACTGCAAAGCTACATAACGAAAACAGTATAGTTCTGGCTTACAGACATGAACCGATGGTACAGAACAGAGAACCCAAGCCCTTTGAGAAGAGTGTTGAGACCATTCAGTGGGAAAGGGCATCTTTTCAACAGCCTGTGCTGGAGAAACTGGATATCTGTATGCAGATAAAAGAATGAAGTTGGACCCTTACCTTTCACCATACAGAAAACGAACTCAAAACAAATCAAAGACCTAAAATTGTAAGAACTAAAACTATACACTCTTAGAAGAAAACCAAGGAAAAGCTTCATGATGTTGGATTTGGCAATGATTTTTTGACACCTAAAGTACAGGCAGCAAGAGAGAAATAAATTGGGCCTCATCAAAATTAAGAACTTTTGGGGCACTTGGGTGGCTCAGTCATTAAGCGTCTGCCTTCGGCTCAGGTCATGATCCCAGGGTCCTGGGATCGAGCCTCTCATCAGGCT